TAGTGGAACCATGTTCTGGATTCTTATAAGAAAGAAGCAATGTGCAAAGACTAATTTTGCTCCCCTTTGAGAACCTAGGCTTCTCTCTTATAGAAATCAAAATGATGTAACTGGCCTTATTTCTCCTTTCCATGTGGGCCACTAGGGACCTTAAAGTCCAGTGCTGTACAGGATCCTAGAGCCTGCATATCTATACTCTTTTTTTCCTCTCTCAGCTACAAAAAAAATTTCCTCATTTCTTCTAAAAGTATTCATACAAGGGAGGTGAAAAACCTCAGAATGGGTCCAAGGTAACTGAGTGATAAAAACAAACAACTGAGCCACTAGAACCCATGTCTTTAAAAACAATAATAATAAACAATACAACTTTTGAAATCAGACAGGCCGGGATTCACATCCTAGCCCTTCTACTTGCCAGCTCTAGATAGAACCTTGAATAAGGTATTTAATCCTTCTCAGTCTGAGTTTCATCCATGAAATGAAGACAATAATGAGAACCACACAGAGTTCTTATAAGGATAGAGATAACATGTGAAAAAACGGAGGCAGATAGTACAGGTCGGCATATGTAGTGCATTTGCCTAGACCTGAAATACTGAAGTCCCAACCTCTCTTGCAGCCAGACGTGCCCATGTGATTCAGTCCTGACCAATGACACATCAGCAGGAGTCTTTCCATATTTCCTCCCTCTTCCTACTGGGATGGATCCTAGACCAAAACTGAAAGGTTCCTTGGTCATCAGCTAAGGATGTTGAAGCAGGAAGACAACAGCCTGGGAGCTTGATGGCGCTGTGTAGCTGTCATCAAACCCTGAACTACGCACCTCCTAATTCACTACTGCTTGAGATAAATAAGCACATACTTGGTCAAGCCCGTGTCAAGCTTCCGTTATAAAGTAGCCAAATGCCAGCCTGACAACATGAACCTACTAACACACACTTAGCAAATATCTATGCCCACCAAGCATCAGTCCTCTTAGTTTCCTTATAGTTGAAAAGATATGTGTTAGGGGAAATGATTACAATAATATTGGTAAGTAAAAAAACAAGCTACCAAATGCTGTAGATTATATGGTATGAGCCGAATTTCGCTAGGAGAAAAGAACAGTTACTGTGAGACTCACGGATATGCAGGCGCTCAGAGGATTCTATTAAGCACATTACCGAGAAGGGAAGAGCTGTGTGTTTTCATTGTAACAGAGCCATTTTGACAAAACTTCAAAACGTCCTGCTAGGTTTTTCATAGGCCAACAGTACTGTGCGTCCAGGCCGAGTGGAACATGTCAGAGAGCTTATGGTGACCAGAAGAACTGGAAATGAATGTCCATCTGGGGTGCATTAACGAAGTTTCATGATTCTTTACATGTGGCCTTGAGTGGCTAGTCTGACGCAAAATGACTCGTCTAGTTTGTGATTCATATCATATGACTATTCAGCACAATGTAAGAGAACGGTGAGCCAACCATGTTTTTATTACACCGAAAGGAAATACTTTTCCGTTTATATCAGCACAGTTGTGGTTTCTAACATTCCTGCTACTTCTTCACTCATTTCCAAGGACATTTATGCGTTTTCTAAGCATAGCATAAATATGGTTCAGGCCAAAATAGCACTTATTTGGTAATATCTACAAACACAGTACCATGCAGGCTTAAAAGGAACAGTTTTTGGCAAGTCAGG